ACTGTAGGAGGTGGGTCATAGAGGATCTTGCTTTGATTTATGTCATCGAATATTCTGCCTATATTTTCCTCTAAGAGTTCTACAGTTTCTGGTCTTACATTTGGGTCTTTAGTCCATTTTGAGTTTATCTTTGTGTATGGTGTTAGGAGGTGTTCTAATTTCATTCTGTTACATGTATCTGTCCAGTTTTCCCAGCACCATTTATTGAAGAGGCTGTCTTTGCACCATTGTATATTCTTGCCTCCTTTGTCAAAAATAAGGTACCCACAGGTGCATGGGTTTATCTCTAGGTTTGCTATCTTGTTCCATTGGTCTATATTTCTGTTTTTGTGGCAGTACCATACTGTCTTGATGACTGTCGGCTTTGTAGTATAATCTGAAGTCAGGAAGGTGGATTCCTCCAGCTCCATTCTTCTTTCTCAAGACTGCTTTGGCTACTTGAGGTCTTTTGTGTTTCCATATGAATTGTGAAATTTTTTTGTATTAGTTCTGTGGAAAATGCCATTGGTAATTTGATAGGGATCGCATTGAATCTTAAATTGCATTTGGTAGTATAGTCGTTTTCACAAAATTGATTCTTCCTACTCAGGAACATGGAATATCTCTCCATTTGTTTATGTCATCTTTGATGTCTTTTATTAGTGTCTTATAATTCTCTGTGTACGGTTCGTTTATCTCCTTAGGTAAGTTTATTCTTAGATATTTAATTCTTTTTGTTGCAGTGGTGAATGGGATTGATTCCTTAATTTCTCTTTCTGATTTTTCATTGTTAGTATTTAGAACTGCAAATGATTTCTGTGTATTGATTTTGTATCCTGCAACTTTGCTAAATTCACTGATTAGCTCTAGTAATTTTCTCATACTATCTTTATCTTTACTGTACTTTTCTATGTGCAGTATCATGTCATCTGCAAACAGTGAGAGCCTTACTTCTTCTTTTCTGATCTTGATTCCTTTTATTTCTTGTTCTTCTCTGATTACTGTGGCTAGGACTTCCAGAACTATGTTGAATAATGGTGATGAGAGTGGACACTCTTGTCTTGCTCCTGATCTTAGGAGGAGTGCTTACAGTTTTTCACCATTGAGAATAACGTTTGCTGTAAGCTTATCATATATGGCCTTTACTATGTTAAGGTAGGTTCCTTCTATGCCCATTTTTTGAAGAGTTTTAATCATAAATGGGTGCTGAATTTAGTCGAAAGCTTTTTCTGCATCTATTGAGATTATCACATGGTTTTTATCTTTCAATTTGTTAATATGGTGTATCACATTGATTGATTTGTGTATATTGAAGAATCCTTGCATTCCTGGAATAAACCCAACTTGTTCATGGTGTATGAGCTTTTTGATGTGTTGCTGAATTCTGTGCTGGAATGCTGTTGAGGGTTTTTGCATCTCTGCTCATCAGTGATGTTGGCCTGTAGTCTTCTTTTTTGTGTGTTGTTTTTGTCTGGATTTGGTATCAGGGTGATGGTGGCCTCGTAGAATGAGTTTGGAAGGGTTCCTTCCTCTGCAGTTTTTTGAAACAGTTTTAGAAGATAGGCATTAGCTCTTCTCTAAATGTTTGCTAGAATTCTCCTGTGAAGCCATCTGGTCCTGGGCTTTGGTTTTTTGGGAGAATTTTTAATCACAGCTTCAATTTCAGGATGTAATTGGGTTGTTCATAATTTCTAATTCTTCCTGGCTCAGTCTTGGAAGATTGAACTTTGCTAAGAATCTGTCCATTTCTTCCAGGTTATACATTTTCTTGCCATATAGTTGTTATAATCCTTTGTATTTCTGCATTGTCTGTTGTAACCTCTCCTTTTTCATTTTTAATTTTGTTGATTTGATTCTTGCTTTTTTTCTTGATGAATCTGGCTAAAGGTTTGTCAATTTTGTTTATCTTCTCAAAGAACCAGCTTTTAGTTTTATTAATCTTTACTATTGTTTCTTTCATTTCTTTTTCATTTATGTCTGCTTGGATATTTATGATTTGTTTTCTTTTACTAATTTTGGGGGGGGTTTGTTCTTCTTTTTCTAGTTGTTTTAGGTGTAAAGTTAGGTTGTCTAGTCAATGTTTTTCTTGTTTTTTGAGGTAGGATTCAATTGCTATAAACTTCCCTCTTAGAACTGCTTTTGCTGCATCCCATAGGTTTTGATTTGTGTTTTCATTGTCATTTGTTTCTAGAAATTTTTTGATTTCCCTTTTTATTTCTTCAGTAACCTGTTGGTTATTTAGAAACATGTTGTTTAATCACCATGTGTTTGTGTTTCTTACAGCTTTTTTCTTGTTATTGATACCTAGTCTTATAGCATTGTTGTCAGAGAAGATGCTTGATTTCAGTTTTCTTAACTTTACTGAAGCTTGATTTGTGACCCAAGATGTGGTGTATCCTGGAGAATGTTCCACATGCACTTGAGAAGAAAGTGGATTCTTTTGCATTTGGATGGAATGTCCTGAAGATACCAATGAGATCCATCTCATCTAATGTATCATTTAAGACTTGTGTTTTTTCCTTGTTAATTTTCTGTTTTGATGATCTGTCCATTGATGTGAGTGGGGTGTTAAAGTCTCCTACTATTATTGTGTTACTGTCAATTTCTCCTTATATGTCTGTTAGTGTTTGTCTTAGATATTGAGATGCTCCTATGTTGGGTGCATAGGTATTTACAATTGTTATGTCTTCCTCTTGGATTGATCCCTTGATCATTATGTAGTGTCCTTCCTTATCTCTTGTTATCTTCTTTATTTTAAGGTCTATTCTGTCTGATATGAGGATTGCTACTCCAGCTTTCTTTTGTTTCCCATTTGCATGGAGTATATTTTTCCATCCTCTCACTTTCAGTTTATATGTGTCTTTAGGTTTCTTGTAGACAGCATATATATGGGTCTTGTTTTTGTATCCATTTAGCCAGTCTGTGTCTTTTTGGTTGGGGCATTTAATCCATTTACATTTAAAGTAATTATTGGCATATATTCCTATGCCATTTTCTTAGTTGTTTGGGGTTGATTGTGTAGATCTTTTTCCTTCTCTTGTATTTCTTGACTGTATAAGTCCCTTTAACATTTGTTGTAAAGCTGGTTTGGTGGTACTAAATTCTCTTAACTTTTGCTTGGCTGAAAAGCTTTTGATTTCTCCATCAATTTTGAGTGAGATCCTTGCTGGGTACAATAATCTTGGTTGTAGATTTTTCCCTTTCAGCACTTTAAATATATCCTGCCATTTCCTTCTGGCCTGCAGAGTTTCTGCTGAAAGATCAGCTGTTAAGCATATGAGGTTTCCCTTGAATGTACGTGTTGCTTCTCCCTCTCTGCTTTTAATGTTCTTTCTTTGTGTTTAGTCTTTGTTAGTTTGATTAGTACGTGTCTTGGCATTGTTTCTCCTTGGGTTTATCCTGCATGGGACTCTTTGTGCCTCTTGGACTTGGTTGACTATTTCCTTTTCCATGTTGGGGAAATTTTCAACTCTAATCTCTTCAAAAATTTTCTCATACCCTTTCTTTTTCTCTTCTTCTTCTGGGACCCATATAATATATATAATTAAATACATATAATGTTGGTGTGTTTGATATTGTCCCAGAGATCTCTGAGACTATCCTCAGTTCTTTTCATTCTTTTTACTTTATTCTGCTCTTCAGAAGTTATTTCCACATTTTATCCTCCAGCTCACTGATTCATTCTTCTGCTTCAGATATTCTGCTATTGATTTCTTCTAGAGTAGTTTTAATTTCATTACTTGTGTTATTTGTTTCTGCATGTTTATTCTTTAATTCTTCTAGGTCTTTGTTAATTGATTATTGCATTTTCTCCATTTTGTTTTCAAGGTTTTTGATCATCTTTACTATCATTATTCTGAATCTTTTTCAGGTAGTTTGCCTATTTCTTCTTCATTTATTTGGACTCCTGTATTTCTAGTTTGTTCCTTCATTTGTGTAGTATTTCTCTGCCTTTTCATTATTTTTTTAAACTTACTGTGTTTGAGGTCTCATTTTCCCAGGCTTCCATCTTGAATTCTTTCTTCCTTTTGGTTTCTGCCCTCCTAAAGTTGGCCCAGTGGTTTGTGTTGGCTTCATGTAGGATGAGATTTGTGCTGAGTTTTTGTTGTTGTTTGTTTATTTGTTTGTTTTTCCTCTGATGGGTAAGGCTGAGTGAGGTGGTAATCCTGTCTGCTGATGATGGGTTTGTATTTTTGTTTGTTGTTTAGATAAGGCATCCTGCACAGGTGTCTTGCACTGGTGGTTGAGTGATGCCGGGTCTTGTATTCAAGTGGTTTCCTTTGTGTGAGTTCTCACTATTTGACACTCCTTAGGGTTAGTTCTCCAGAGAAGGCAATGACAACCCACTCCAGTACTCTTGCCTGGAGAATCTCATGGACAGAGGAGCCTGGTAGACTTCAGTCCATGGGGTCACTAAGAGTCGGACACGACTGAGCGACTTCACATTCACTTTTCACTTTCATGCATTGGAGAAGGAAATGGCAACCCACTCCAGTATTCTTGCCTGGAGAATCCCAGGGACAGAGGAGCCTAGTGGGCTGCCGTCTGTGGGGTCGCACAGAGTCGGACACGACTGATGCGACTTAGCAGCAGCAGCAGCAGGGTTAGTTCTCTGTTAGTCTAGGGTCTTGGAGTAAGTGCTCCCACTCCAAAGGCTTGGGTTTGATCTCTGAGTCCAGAAGAAATGGGGCAGTGCTTTTAACACAGTCTTCAAAACAGGCCTGAAGCCAGATTCAAGGACTTCTATCCTCCAGGACGATGCCTCCCTCCTGACGGAAGATCCCGTTTTCTCTTCCTCGGTGCTCAGTCTGGTTTCACTTGCTCACAGGGGGACGAGTACAGAGGCCCTGCACCTAGTCCTTCAGACCAGAGTTCCGAGGACAAAAGGGCTTAGCCCGCCTCATTTTTTTTTTTTTTTAATGATAGCATTGAAATGTTGGCATCCTAGAAACTCTGAATTTGGGTTGTTATAGGACTAAGCTGATTGTTATGTGTAACAAATTGTTCTTTGTTCATCTTAGGATCACCTGCTGTTACCAGCTACCACCCATAACAAGACCTCAAGACCAAAGATGTCAATTGTATTACCAGCAATAAACATAAATGGTAAGTTGAAATTTTGGCTTATGAATGACATGTGATTGCTTTGTTTAACCTAGATTCTCTGGATTAACTAAGACATTCATCTGGTCAAGTATATATCCATGTGTTAATTCTGAAACATTTTCCCACTGTTTTCACAAAATATTATTTTTAAATTCCTCTCTTTTAAAAAGTAAAAGGTTTAGTTTAAAGCTACCTTTACAATTACTATATATTTTGTAAATTCATTCTCTTTTATTTATAAAATTAGAAAAGTTACTATCTTTACTGATCTATAGACTTCTTGTCTGGGGCCTTTCTGGTAATACCTGCTGTATAAGAAGTCTTTGCTATGTTGTGAGGGTGAATTCATAAGTTAGGTTGTTGGAGCTCAAAGCAGTTTCTTGTATAACATAAATGGTGATATGATTCCCAAACTAAAGAAACCTGTTTATATTTAATCTGTGATACTAATGAATTTTATATTGACAGTATTACTATTACATTGTGTTCTCTCATTAATTCTGGGTATTGGATAAAATACAAATAATACCATAGTGCTTTGAGAGTATCCAAAGTGTGATGGTCTAGTATACTTGCTTATAGTCTAGGAGAGAGTATAAGTTGAGCACAGAAATCACTGTACTCTGGAGAGAGATCCCATAAGGAATAAACAAAGTACTAAAGAGATTTAGTAAAGAAGAGATTACTTCCAGCTGGGTTCTTCATGGAAAAGAGAAACTTCTCACTCCCAGTGTCAGCTGTGTGTTGAGAATGAGCACAGTGTATATTGTTGGCTGATGACTTTCTCCGACACATCATATTAAATTCTAGTGGAACTGGGAGGATTGGTTGTCCTTCTCAAGCCCATTTATCTAGTGTAGCAGAACTACTGGTAAATTTTCTAATAATGACAACCTTATAATTTAATGAGTAAGACAAAGTTGAAAAGTCCTTTAACCTGCAGTTGAACCAGTCCACATTCTGATTGATGATCATGCTGAAGCCACCAAATACAATTATAAAACACTGGAATTCTAGATAAATTCCAATAAAATTTAGTCTTAGAGAAAGAGTATTAGGTATTCATTGTACATTTTAAGATCATCGAGGACTGTCAGACTTCAATTAACTATATACAGACAGCTTATTAGAAATACTTAGGACGCAATTTTACAGACATAAAACTTTTTTTATTGTTAAAACATAAAAGAATTATGACATCTTCTTAGTCTTAGGAAGACAGAACAAACTTTTTAAAAAAACAAACTGTAACATTGAGGTAAACTTATCCTCCTTCAGTAAAGGCATACCTCTGAAGCTTTCATGGATCAATCATATTACAACTTCAAGTGGAACAGTATATTCAAAAGGGTACTATAATATACTCCAAAGAATATGCTTAGGAAATATTACTAATCTTGTTCCATAAGTACCTAGATTTCTCTACTTGAACCATGATAGATCTAACTTCTGGTCAGCTTATGCTCAGAAAGGTTATTGTCTAACCTTCAACAAGGCAGAATTTACTTAATTTTAGTTGTTCTGATCTCAGGTTCTTATAAAATAAAACCAGGCATTCTTTTGCATGACAGCAAGCTATCCATTTGTATTGGTATTAAGCCAAAAACAATAAGATGGTGTTTGATTATCTTGGCCAGGGGACTAATTTTTGAAAATAAGCCTTTCCGTGGATTCGAAAAATACCATAATTAGAGGATCATTTCCTTTTTAATCTGGTTTGAATTTCTTTGTAAGTTAGTTTTGTTTTCCTCCTTAGGGTATAGACTACTCTTGGAAAAGTCACTTCAGATTCAGGAAATACTGACTAAGTAGATGCCACGTGCTCAGTGCTGTGCCACATTCTCAGCTTCTCTGCTGAACCATCCCTTCATCTTCTTGCTTTGAGGCCACTTCTCAAATTAGACCTTGATTTTTCCGTCCCACCTCATATATCTCTGAGCCTGCAGATGGGATGGATAGTATCCTTGTTCCCCGTTACAACTACTAGATAACCTCACCTTTCTTCCTTAGTCTCCCTAACACCTTTCAAGTTCATGACACTCTTCTTCCCCTTCTTTGCTGCTGTCTTCTACCCCACTTTCACTGACTACTTCTCCACCACGGTTTTTGTCAACTCGCTGTAAAACTTCAGCATCTACACAGAGGATTCATCCAGCACTCAGTCCTCTTTAGATCCACTCATCTTTTATTTCTGCACCACCTCAGCTTCCCATCCACATAGTCATACTCAAGACCTCATCATCATCTGTAATGGCGTCCATTTGAAAGCTCTTCAGGCATCCCACTCTGACTTTTACCTGCTCTCCCACTGTAATACCCACTCCAGCTACTCTCTGACTTCACACGTCTCCAGTGCTTTGACCCTGCCACTTTTTCTGCATCTTACATCCATCATGGCCATACACTCCTCCTTACCAAGCCTATATTCCGTGTCCTACACTATCACCACTCTTTTGCAAACCCCGCCCCCCAGTCTTCTTTCCTTAGGTCCCACTTGTCTGTAAAAATCCCACCCTAATTAAACACAGCTATACTCTTTATGCCTGCTGTCAAGTGGTTGAAAATTGCTACAAAATGTCATCCAGTCAGGACAAGGAAATTCACTTCAAATTTATGACCATTAATTCCAAAGGGGCATTCAGTACCACCTATCATTGCTACTAAATTCACTTGCCTTCTCTCTGAAACAAGAATTTCTCACCTACTTTTCTCAAATCTCCAACATCCCCTCTCTTCACTCCCTCAGCTGATGAACTCATCAAAATGCTACATTAAGAAAATAGATGTAATCGTTTAAGAGCTATCTCATCTTTCTACTACCTAGCGGCATCTATACCCACAAATTCTGCCTTCCTTCTTACTGCACTGGGAGAAAAGTTTCTTCCACTGAGTTGTAAATCCTAACTTTGCTATTTATTGGATATGTATAGTTGGACAAATTAATTAAGTTTTCTGTACTTGTGCGTGCGTGCATGCTTAGTTGCTTCAGTCATGTCCGCCTCTCTGTGACCCCATGGACCATGGCCTGCCAGACTCCTCTGTCCATGGGATTCTCCAGGCAAGAATATTGGAGTGGATTGCCATTTCCTTCTGTACTTGAGCTTCCTGTAAAAGGAGATATTAGTGTAACACCTTCCTCTTAGATTTGGGGGAGAATTAAATGAGCAGAAATGCTTTAAACAGTGCCTAGCTGTTTTCAGTTCACTGTTACTTTGTCGTTGTCATCATGGTCAGCGTTATCTAAGGTGCCTCCTTCCTTTTGGATCATGCATCCTAGCCATTCTCACCATTTTAGAGACTTTGCTGCTGCATTTTTACGCTTGCTATCCCCAATGATCAGTTTCTTCACTGCTGGGTCATCCCTATCAACACACAAAGTGCCTTAATATTGCTTTTGGTGTAGGGAGAGTCTCTTAACTCCATGTGCTGCTTCTCTGCTGCCTTCATACAGAACTCGGGGAAGAGTTCCCTGTACTCGTTGCCGCCATTTGCTTATCTCCTGTTCTGTCCTCTGCTTACTCTTACGTAACTTTTGCCCTACTGAAGAGTTCTTGCAAAAGGGTCACCAATGACCAGTACCTTGCCAAAGCCAAGAGGCATGTCTTCATTCTCACCTGACCTGACCTCTCAATGGTATTTGACATGGTTGACTATTCCCTCTTTTTTTCAGCCTCCCATTTTTATTTTTAAAAACTTCACATCTACAGCAAAGTTGAAAGATGAGTACAGTGAGCATATGGAGACCCTTTACCTAGATTTCACCAATTGTTAACATTATCCCACATTTGCTTTATTTGTATCTATTTATCTCTTTTTACTCACATGTGTTTTTTTCTGAACCATTAGCAAGTTAGTTGCAAACATTTTAATACTTTACCCTTAAATACTTGAATACACATCTCCTAAAAAAGGGATGTTCTCCTACACAAGCACAATAAAATCACCACATCAAAGTTTAACATTGATATAATAGAGTTTAATATATAATCAATATTCAAATTTCCAAATTTGCCCCCCAAAATATTCTTTATAGCTTTTGGGGGAAGGGATTCAACATCCAATCAGAGGTCATACATGGCATCTCCTTGTCACACCTCTTTAGTCTCCTTTCATTTAGAACAGCTCTTTTGCCCTTTTAAAAATTGTTTTTCATGACATATGCATTTTTTAGAAATCAGATTCATTGAGATATAATGTACATAAAATAAAACATCACCAAGTTTATGTGTACAATTTTATGAGTTTTGACAAGTGTAGACAGTTGTGAGACCACCACTTCATTCATGATAGCAACATTTTCACTCCTTTAAGAAGTTTATTTGTGTCCCTTTGCAATCAGTCCCCTCAAATTCATTTTTGGTGTTCCCTGTGTTTTCAAACACTTTATTTTGTGGACTTTTGTGATACAATGGCTGATCTACTTTTCCTGTTGCATCTCCTTGGTCACTTTAGCCAGCTTCTCCTCCTCTGTAAGGACAGGAATGTTGTTTGTTATATTTGCATTTACCATAACCCCAGCGCCTAGAGCAAGCAGTGTCTGGCACAGGACATATTGCAAGATGTTCATCTCTGTTAATTTATGTAATGCTCAGCTGCCAGCTAAGTATTATCTGCATTTTATAGATGAAGACATTAAAGGTCAAGGAAGTAATTGGTACCATTTATTCAACCATTATATAACAGAATTAAGAGCTAAATACATTGTATAAAATATATCTCGATCAATTATTAAGTATTTCAATATTAAAGACAAATGTGTAAATATTAAAACTATGTGGACTCCAGTATTTAAGATATACTTTTATACTACTTTACCCCTTTGTCATAAAGGTCAAGCACGTTGATTGAGAGCAGCATAACTCAATATGATATGACATCTTGGTTTGATAGGCACATGTTTGTTGAATGGCACAATAAGCAAGGTGAATGTTATTTGGTCGTTACTCTGCGGTCGCTCGAAGGACGTCACTGTTCTACCTCTCTGATTAAACAGTCGGCAA